TGGCAAAGAATTGCAAACAACTGTCTACTAATAGAATATTGGTTTAATAAATTATAAACTATGCATACCACATATTTCCATATAGCTATTAATAAAAATAAGTTACATATATGTATTGACCTCATAAGATATTTTTAGTATATGTATTTTACATGAAAAAAAAATCTTTAGAGTAACATGAACAGTATGTTTACATATTTGTAAAAAAATTACATAAATGTATATATCAACCAAAAACCTATTGCTGTCGAGATGATCTCAAGTCATAGCAACCCTATAGGACAGAGGAGACCTGCCCCATAGGGTTTCCAAAACTGTAAATCTTTACAGAAGCAGACTACCACATCTTTCTCCCAAGGAGTGACTGGTGGGTTCAAACTGCCAACCTTTTGGTTAGCAGCCAAGCGCTTAATCACTGTGCCATCAGGGGTCCTTAAACTGGGCAATAGGACCTTAATAACTTTTTCCTTCTTAACATTTTGTTATATTGGTACATTACTCATGTAGCTTTTTAAAAATGTAATAAAAGAGGGACCTAAACAAAGCAAATATGTCCATAACAATTTTAGAATGTAAAGGAATCTTAGAAAGGATATTTATGACTATAGCTATATCCTACCAGTGCTCCACTTATATCGGTTTGTATCCTTTCACTGTTTTTTTTGCACACCTGTTCCCCCAGTGCTTTCACACTCAGCAGTAAGCACTGGCAACTCTTTGTTAGGGCCTTAGGCTGTGGAACCTGCTATGTTTGCCCACCTAGAGAGCAGGGGCAGCCGTTAACCAATGACTGATGTGTGAGCAGATGTAAATTTTCTACTCCCTTGCTCCCTAACGGGGACATTCTGACATGTGATCTATGTTGTCTCCAAAGTGTATTTGAGAGACCGAGTCAAAGTTATCTTTCTTTAGACTTTGCTTGATATTACACTCAAGCTTGGCCTCCTTCACTTCCTAGTTGCATTTCCCAACTTCCCTTTTGGAACTTCCTGGGAATACTTCTTGATAAACACTTTTTACATGTATCCTTATCTCAGGGTCTGCTTCTGGGGACCCCAATCTCATACAATAGCCAATCTATTTTAAGTGTCTGTAGATTTCACCTTCATTTTTGAGAGGCTGGAAGTCATGGAAGTTTTAGTACAGTAGGTTAGGTGCTCAGACTTTGAAGTTACTAGGGGTGAGTCCCAGGCTCTGTCATTTGCTCTCTGCGTGGCCTTGGGCAAGTCATCAAACTCTTTCATGCCTTGGTTTTCTCATTTGTAAGATGGATTGATGATAAAACTACTTTATAGAGTTATTTTGAGGAGGAAATAAGATAATGTACTTAATGTGCATCTGGCACATGTTAACTACTCAGTAACTATTAATGAATGAATAAAGATACGTTATACAAGTATCAGTATCATGACTGATTATCTCTCCATATGCTGTGACAGGTCTGACAGAAGAAGATATTTCCTTTAAATGAGTATTTATGATAGATTTAGAGTCTTCCTTAGGATGAAAGGCACTCTTTACAGAATATTATTTTATTATGTATAACGCATGTAAAGTAAACAAAGTTAATACATCATTGATTTTAATGGAACTTTGCACAGTTTGATTAATATACCATTGCATAAAAACATTCTGCATGCTGAGAAGTAGTAGCTAGTGCATTAGAATATTGTTTGGTGTAAAGCATCAGCATATGCTATTTTCACTATATGTCCCTATGAATGCATTATTATCTGACATAAAATAAAGCAGGCATAATGTATCAAAAAATGAAAAATTTTAATATCCATTAACATCCCTATTCCATTTTTTAGCACTGAATAATATATCATTTTAATGTCTTAAATAACATCACTATTTATGATGATGGTACAACGACCACATCTTTTATTGGACTAGATTCATTTTTAAGAAATTTCTCTGCTTGTTTAGAGTAAACTTCGGTCTTGAGCTACTTTCAAAACTATTCTGTATGAAACTTACCATCATGAAGCCTCACCATAATACTTTTCTTGGATCCAATGTTATAGAATTAATTTATATGGGAATCTACTGTGTGAGAGCACCCTAAAAATCTGAGACACTTGGCATAACTAAGATGGTTGACAGAGAAATCTGTCAACCCAGAACTAAAACCATTCCCGAGGCCAACTCTTCAGACAAAGATTAGACTGGACTATAGGTGTGCTTCTTAGCTCAAGTAGATTCATGAGACTAAATGGGCATCTCCTGTCCAGAGGTGAGATGAGAAGGCAGAGAGGGTTAGGAGCTGGTTGAATGGACACGGGAAATCAGGGTTGGAAAGGAGAAGTGTTCTGTCACAGTACAGGGAGAACAATGAGGGTTACATAACAATGTATGTATAAATTTTTGTATGAGAAACTAAATGGAATTGTAAACTTTCACTTAAAGTACAACGATTAAAAAAAAAGATGGTTGACACAAGTTTGAATCAGATGCCATTTTGTTCAGACTCCATTTTGTTAAAGCTTCTGCTTCTCCACTCTTTTAAAACTTTAACCGCTGTTAGCAAACAAGGGTGGGGGTGAGAATGTGGTTGTTCCAGGAAGGGTTTGCTGGTGATAAAAGAGATTATGATGTTGGTGGTCTCTCCCTGCCCCTCCCCAGTTTGCTAATGTTAAAAGAAATTATGGTGTTGATGGTCTCTTGTGACTCCTACCATATAAAAGGCTCACCTCTCCCTCAGAAGGTGGGAGCACCTGGTAGATTTCCTCTCTACCCTGTGTTTCCGCAGTTCGCGAATTGTTATCACCCTTAATAATTCTCCTTGCTTTTTCTTTAACAGAAGTGAGCGTTCTTACTCGCCAACACTACCTTGTAATGATGACTGGGCCATGTAAAATCCCCTTGGTTGGGGTTCAAGCAAATATATCTGACATAAATCCTATTTATTACAAATAGCACATTTTCTGATGGTTGCTGATTTCATTATTGTATTAAAATCCCCTTGTTGTAATTGCTGTCATTCTCTCCATGTTTTCATCTAATTATTCATACTAAATTCTCATTTATTCAGGAACTGGATATTTAATCTGTGGCTTTTCCAAATCCCTATTTTATAATTCTTTTATTGTACATTCTTAATCATTTAAATATTCCTATTTTTATAATTTCATAGTGAAGATGATAAAAAGAAAAGTTGATATTAAAATAAGCAGCTTTGTTATTTTTATAGAAATTCCTGGTAAAAAGCATGATTTCATTGAATATATAAAATTAAAATTTTAACCATTTATGGATGTTAAACTTTCTCCATCATCATAAGTTGAAACTCTACACTTTATTCTTTCATTTTACCAAGAGCAAAGCTACAAGTGTTTTTCAAAAATTACCTAATAGTCACCCCACTTCATACCACCCATTACTGAACTATATATAGCTTGAGATAATGGGGGTTGGGAAATGTCATGTATTGAATTATGTCCCAAAAAGATGTGTTGCAGTCCTAACCCCCTATTTGTGAACATGACCTTGTCTGGAAATAGGCTCTTTGAAGATATTATCCGTTAACATGAGGTCATGCTAGATTAGTGTGCATCCTAATCCCATCTGAGTGGTATCCTTATAAAAGAGAAAAGATTCACAGCTAAAAACAGAATAAAACAAACCAGTTGTCCTCCAGTGGATTCATAAGGAATGCCAACAAATCCCTGGGCCTACCAGAGCTAGGAGCGATAAGAAAGGATCTTCCCCTAAAACCATCAGAAGAATTGTGTCCTGCCAACACCCTAAATTTGGACTACTAGCCTCTAGAAAGGAGCCCTGGTAGCACAACAGTTATGGTGATGTGCTCTCATAAAAATTATGGCCTAGGAAATCATATGGGGGCTGTTCTACTGTGTCACATGGGGTCACTATGAGTTGCAATTAACTCAAGGGTATAATAACAGCAAGCCTCCAGAACTCTGAGATAAAAAAATTCTGTTCTTATCAGCCATCCAATTCATGGTATTTTGTTAAGACAGCCCTAAGAAACTAATACAGGAAGGTTTTGTTCTTAAATTTGAGAGGATTAAGAAGTTACTGCCTTGAAGAGCCCCTGAATAGGTTTAAAGAATAAGCTGAAAATAGAAATTAAGCAATAATGTGAAATATTAAAATAATCAACAGTTTATTTTCAGTCAAAATATCATTAGTTATGTTATAAGCCCATGATTTAAGAAAAGGATTTACCCTAAGGAAATTGTGACGTAGATAAAATTTCAAAATGTATACATAAGGATCCTAACATTCATTGATGTGCTTCTCACTGACTTCAGGTCTCTTTGACCCCAACATGTTTTTCTGTTGTCCTTTGACTGTGCAAAAAACAAAACAAAACAACTCTTGGCCCCAACCCTATCTATTCAATCACCTCCTGAATACAGGCGTCTGCATTCAACTGTTTTCCTTCTACAATATGCAGGTCAGAATTTCCATTCTCCCTTTATGTTGACTTTCCTTGTGACCAAAATAATAAAAATAAATTTATACTAAAGTATGGTTTGCTGAGAAGTTATAGCCACTTCCCGCATCCTACTTCCCTTTAAAGAAATTTGCATTGAAAGGAAAAGATCTGCAAACCCAACGGAATTTTTAATTAATTTAATTTCTGGAAATTGAACAAAGGACAGAATGTTCTACTATAATGCATGTTTCTGTAAAAAGAATGAACACAAATTCAGTTGGTAAGTAGTGGAATGCCAGTATGATATAGAAGTTGATTTAATCACATTATGATCATCCTTATCATTAATATTTACCAGGTCACAGCCACTGAGCACAAAGTGCAACCGACACAGCTGAATGTAGAAGCCAAAGAGAAATACAGAACTAAATGGCACCTGATGCCATTTTCCCTACAATCTTCCCCTTTGCTCTGTTTGGCCACATGCTGTTAGAAATATTTATTACACCTTCTTCACATCTTCCGACATTTTATTTTGTCTCTGTAACTGTCATGTCCTTCTACCAAGCTACCTTTATGTATGTTTACTGCAGGGTTTTTTTTTTTTTTTTTTTATCAATTTGGAATTTAACATCTTTTTAACTGCTGTATTTTTATTAGAATTGTTTTTGTTAATGCTCTGGCTTACAAAGTTACATAGGTTTTGATGGTACACCAACCTACTTTTCCCTTAAGCTTGTTATTTTTAGCGCACAATTTTGCAGAATGCAAAGTTTTCACCAACACATTTATCACACTATTGCAGGAACACCTGTAAAGCATTTTAAAAAGTGTGGGAAGGATTTCCTCCCATCCTACCTTCCTTCTTTCAATCCTTTCTTGCTTTGCATGGGGCAGTCTGGAGAGAAGGAAAAAAAAAATTGTTTTCTCACAGTTGTCTGTGATCTTCTGTCTATTATAAGCGTTTGTATTTAGAGTTAAAAAGCTACCTAATAAACGGAAATCTTCACCAGTCTTCTCCTATGGTTATTATTATCAATAATGATGAATTTAATTATTAAAGGCTCTAAAAGAGCACAATTCCAATGTTACTGATCATGTCTTAATTTTTATTAAAATCCTGTAAGTTTGTGTTTAGTCAGATCCTATCTTAAATGTCTTTTCCTATAACCTCGTACGTTTTGAGAAATAATCTCATTATATCATCTCTACCATTACTTTCAACTATTTTGACATATTTTTGGAAAAAGTCTGGCAATCTATAACTCTCCCTACTGTTATATTTAAGATGAAATGAGGGCCTGTTCTAGGCTTAGAAAGAGCTGCAGAACATTCAAGGTTACTGCAAGGTTGTCTGCATGTCTCAGAATTTTTCACATATTGACTAATCTTAAGTCTATAAAATATAAAATACTGTAAGCCTGGCTGAAAAGAAGGAACTGAATCAGCTATCCATACACATGAACAACTTGGGACATCAAATTTTGTAGGAAGTAAAGGCGGCGTATCTCAGAGTCCTCTAGCCTTTTCTCTAAACTCCTCATCCCCAAAGCTACTTCTGCAGGTATTTCAGAAAGTAGGAAAATATTTTAATGCTCAAATCTATTAGAAAAGAACAAGGATATATAAATTTCAGCAAAACATGTAATATTTATTATGAGAGAGAATTAAGAAAAAAATGAGATATGGAAATGTAGCCAGATATAAAGCTAAAGAAAGCACAAGTGAGGCATAAATTTAGCTCAGGTTTCTAGTAGGCAATGTGACAAGGGTCATCTACCCAATATACCATGTCCATTAGCTGAAACAAATCAGTTATTTAGAGAACTTATACTTTTGAAACACCAGGGAAGAATTTTTTCTCTTAGGATCTCATAAATATGTGATGATAGTCAGTACTTTTGCACTCCATAGAAGTTTCAGGGATACAATTGATAAGGGCTTCTCAACCTTGCTTCAACAGAAGTAAGATTTAGCTGGAATGAAGTCTTCTCAGGCTAAAGAATGTATGCACATATTGATATAGGTAATTTTATTTTCCCTACTCTGTCCTAGTTCTTTGAGGGTAGGATTGGCTTATTTTTTGTAGAACTTGTTATATAGTTATTAGATGAGTAAATAAATGCATAAAAAGCTAAACATCTACAAGTGGGGACTCCTCTGCAAGTGCTTCTGAAGATTCCTCCCTCCTCAGCATTGGGTATTCTTTAGTGTGAAGAAACTAGTATGCTTGGTCATAAGCAAAATGTGAGGCAATATTGTTTGCTGGAGGAGCTTTTCACCTTTACCTTTTGAATTCCTGCTCATTATCAGTGTTGCATTTAGCCTCATCCGACGCCTTTCAGCTCTCCAGCACCTGTACCTACAGCTAGTATGGCAAGTTCATCTGTCTCTGCTACTCTGTTGAATATTCGAAATTTCCTGAGGGCCTCAGAAAAAAGGGCTACATGTGATTATCTGTTAGGGACCTGGGTCAATGAGTGCCTAGGATTTGTCAACCTTGAGATCCTACATACTGAAGGTGGTTCTTTGAGACCTATGAGACAGATCTCCAACGACACTTCCTCAGGCTAAGAACTTATCTTTCTTTTATTTATCAAACTACAAAAACTGTTGTCACCCATTCTTGAGGTATTTAAGGAGACAGTACTAATATAATGAAAAAGTGATTTGTTTGGGGTTATGAACTAAAGGACCAGTGTCCAAGATTTGTCAGGAATTAGCTATGCAACCCTCAGTATCTGTATAAATCTTTACTAGTTTATAAAATGAAGACAATTATCTGCCCTCCCTACCATCCATATCATCTTAGTCTTTGGCCCATTATTATTTATTTATTTACTTAACTTACTGGTTTATTTTATAAACAAATCCATTTGAAGCTAGAAACTATATTTTATTGGTTTGCATCTTAAGTGCTTATCACAATGACTATTATACTGTATATACTAAATAAAATACACATTGGTCCAATGAATTAATAAAAATATTTGGAAAATTTCACAGTGCTAAATAAACGTAAGATGTCAGAGGGAACAGGTAGAACTTCCCATGTTTTCTTCTCTCTTGGACAGGCAGTTCCTGCCTGTGGCCACAACAACCTCAGGCAATCATTACTTGTCCATATAGACAGATTGACTGGTGCCTGGATATGGCTGCATATCACACACAGACAGATTGATCGGTGCCTGGAATCTAGCTGCATTTCACACTCTCATCTTTCTGGAAGTGTCCTCGCTCCAAAGGTCTTGGGCTTCCTTTGGATCGTGCGGTGTCCCGTGTTGTACAGTGCTCCTCAAATACAGCCATGCTGATACTGTCAGACCACACCTATAAAAAAACCAAAATGTCAAATATTTGTTCTGTAGCACATTTGGTATATATCAAACCTTTGCAGGTTTGAGCCTGCCTTTTCCATAAGAAGTTATTGAGATCTTATAATGCACCATGCACTATATGCTGATATATGTTTTACCTCACTGTATCCTCACATCTCTATAGAATAGGTACTATTGTTATTTCCATTTTACAAACGAGAGCACTGAAGAAAAAAAAAAGGTTAAATATTCTGCCCAAGATTTACACCACTCTTGTGGTGGAGCCAAGGTTCTAGCATGGGCTGTCTGACTCCAGAGCCCATGCTTTTACGCACCATGCTATGCAGCCTCTCGGCTGCTTTTATATATTTCATATTTTTATGATAATTTATCTTTCTTTTGGGGAAGAATAACAAGAATTTTAAAGCTTACTTCGCTTAATTATTAAACACTTACCCTTTATAAGTAGTTACAGTTACCCAAAGTTTTAACTGGGGTTTCTTTTTTGTGCTCATCCTGGTAGTGAGAATAAAATTTGGAAGAATGCTTTCAATTGTCCATACAGCAAAAGGATTGTTATAGCAAGTTACACACACACACAACACACACCAGAAATCTACTCCAAATTGTACACTAAAACTCTAAATGTTGAATAAATGTTCAACTTAAAATATAGTTGACCCTAAAATAATGAGCTATTTTAAAACTAGCTTAAACCAAGCCTAGTTTTCTATTTCTATACTATTTTATATAAGCTGGTAACTAGTTTGACATCAAAATGATGACAATTATAACTATATTGCTATTCAACAATCTTGTAAAGCCAATGACTTTATACATGTATGGTTCCCTTCATAATGGCAGGTCTCATGTGTTAAACACCGAATTTTACCAACTTAGTTATAATACATAAGTACTTTAATATTCAATGAATAAAGGAACAGAAAACTTACAGTAAGTAAAGTAACTTCAAAGACCAGTTTTTCATACCTATTTTCTATTAGCACACAAAAGCTAATGTATAAAAACTATACATTAAGCATAGTTTGAATTACCCTGCAGCTATATTCTGAAGGTGCTGTAACATTTTTCATAAGAACTGACAATATTAAAAAGGCAAAAACATTACAACTCAGACAGTACACAAGGCTTCTTATATCATTGGTAAAAATAGTGAGTATGCCAATGTTTTATTTGCTACAGGGGTAAGGAGAGAAACATTAGTGAAATAAATCTGATAACCTAACTCACACTTCATTACAAGTGATTTTCCTAAATTCACAACTTTCGCATTTGGCTGAGCTAAGAAGAAAAAAAGAAACTAAAATAGGAACTTTATATTTCACTAGATATAAGTAGGCCAAGTCACATGATCCTCTCTACATGAGTGAATTCAAATGAGAATGAGTGAGTGCTCTGTTCTAGCTAGGAAAAATATCTTCCTTAGTGAGTTTAAATAATTTACCCATGTAATGAATAGCCCTTGGGTCAGAACCAGAAATCTCCATCAGCCTGTTTTGTAAGAATCGGGCGAAATTATGCAGCATATACAGAACATTTTCTGGTTAAGTCTTAATAGTTCAGACAAGTATAAAAAAATCCATACTACTTCACTGTCTTTCAGGTCTTTTTCTCCTAAAATCCTTCTAAATTTCTTAGGTAGTCCATTTTACTTAATGGATTAATATACTTATCAACTTTAACACCCTATAGAAGTAGTAAGAGTAAGAAGGACATGCCTATTTAAACTGTCCCTCATTCTCCTCCTCCTCATTCCCAGTCTTAAAGTTTATTTAAAAAGCAATGTAGGCATAAGTACCATACATAGCTTTTAGAGGCATCTGGGGTGGGAGAGAGTTCAGAGGTTAAGAAAATATGCCTTTTACCCTTCTCCCTGGCTTCAGACGTAGATAAGTGTGAGAGGTGTCAAAGACTTCAATGAATGGACTCTTCATAAATCAACATTCTTCCGTGAGTCCCCCACCCCCACTCTCCCGCGCCCACGAAAACAAAGAAATAGAAGTGCTTGGTACCACATGCTTTTGAAGCTTAAACACCCATTAATAACCACGCTGTAGCCGTTGTTATGGGTAATCATCACTTTTTAAATAAAAATTGCCAGCAGAATCTCCTCAGAAAGAGATCGAAGTCACTCTCCCTCCCCAGGAGGCATGAGAGAAAAGGCAGACAGGTATCACCCCTACTTGCACGTGGGGGCTTCCTTTCTCCTCCGACCCCCCCATGCCTCTCCCACGCAGGTCAGGCCGCCTTGGGAGGCAACTGGGAGAAAACGCAGGACTCAGTCCTCCATGGCAAAGTCTTTGGTCTTTTCCTCCTGGTCCCCCACTTTGTAGCGCAACAGCACGCGCAGGCGGCGGGGGTTGTCCCGGGCCGGCAGCAGCGTGATCTCTCCGGAAATGTCCGTGTCTTGCTCCACTTGCACTGGCTCGTTCAGGTAGAGGAGAGCCTGCTTCCAGTGCGTGGCCGGGTGAAAAGGTGAGGTGGACAGCACCAATGGTTTCTCCGAGTCCCCTCCGGGGAAGGTCACCTGGAACCAGATGGCGAAGCCGTGCATTGGCGCCGAGCCGTAGCAGCTGCAGCGGAAGCGCCCACTCACCCCGGTCTCCAGCTCCTGCTCCAGGCCGGCGCGAGCCAGTTCCAGCTCAGCAAAGCGCTGGGGCCGGGCCAGCACGTCCTCGCCGGACAAGCCTTGCACCACGATCTCCGAGTGGCCCATGAGGCAGCGCGTGGCGAAACTCTCCAGACAGCTCATGTCCACGCCGTAGTGCTGCTTCACCTGACTCCAGAAGCCCAGGCGCCACTCCAGCATCTGGTCGCTGATGGGCGCCACGAAGAGCTCGGCGGAAGCCGGCAGGAGAAGGCCGCCCTCCTTCAGCCACTTGGTCCGCGCTTGGAGCACGGAGCTCAGCATTGACTCGTGCAGGAGCCCGTAGCCCATCCACTCGCTCACGATGGCATCCACCTGCTCCGGCAACTCTACTGTTTCCACCGGCCCCGGCAGGACGTGCACCCGGTCCTCCAGCCCGTTGAGCCGCACCACCTCCCGGGCCTGTTGCCAGATGGCGCTGGCCTCCACTGCGTACACGCGCCGGGCCCCGGCCTGGGCACAGAAGATGCTCAGGATGCCGGTGCCCGCACCCACGTCCAGCACCGTCTTGCCTCGAAGCGCTGACCAGTTTCGCAGGATGCCCAGGCGGTAGGCATCGGTGCGAACGCGGTCCGCGATCATCTCCTCGTGCACCGATACGTCCGAGTAGCACTCGTAATACAGCTGGTCCCGCTCCCGCTTAGTTCTCCGGGGTCGCGGCGGGACCGCCTCCCGCTCTCCGCCATCTTCCTCTTCAGTTCCCTCCCCTCCTTCGCCGCCGCCCCCCAACTCAAGCTTTCTTTTCTTAAGCAGCGACATCTTGGCAGCTTCGGTCAGCTCCCGGCGAGCGTTGCGCGGCGTCGTGCGGTCCCAGGAAGCGGGGGCTTCTGGGACATGTAGTGCCCGCCGGCGCTTCCCACTTCCTGCGGGGTTGCCAGCTGGCGCCAACCTAATACTTTTAAAGTCCGGTAATCCGTTTCCCACCTGACACACCCACGTTCTGTAATTCTATCAGTTTCCCCTCCTTACTTTAAACCAAAAACAAACCCACCGCCGTCGAGTGAATTCCAACTCTTAGCAACCCTATAGGGCTGCCCCACAGGATTTTGAAGGAGCGGCAGGTAGATTGGAACTACCGACCTTTTGGTTAACAGCTTGAGCTCTTAACCACTGCATCACCAGGGCCTCGCGTTACTTTACCTTTCTTACCTTACCAGGGCCCCTCCTTACCTTAGCTCCTCAATTCTTTTTTGCTTTCTCTCGCTTCCTGAAGTGGACACGCCCACTTAGACTAAATAAAATTCCACCTTTTGTCTTCTTTGCTCAATTTAGTCGTTTTATTGTACCGAATTATAAGGGTGGCACCCTTCATACATACCACTTTATCTGGAAAATTCTAACAACAATCTCTTCTGTTTTTAGAGGAGGTAGGGTGCAAAGAAAGTGTAAATGAAGCCAAGTAAAAACTTAACAATGCAAAACCTTGTTTCTGATCTAATGACCACTGATTGAATGACTTAGGGTAAATAACTTCTCTGGCTTGTCAATTTCCTATTCACCGACGAGCAACAAGGAGTCTTCATTGCAGTGAAAGGAGAATTATGTTTCTGACCTTCGTTTCAGGAGAATACTGTAGTTACTTGGCTCTCTCTCTGTAACCTCTCTGCTATTCTGTGCTCATTCGAGAGTTAAATCCTGGAGGGGTATAAAGAGAGGTTGAAAAGCAACAAAGGTGTGTTACAACCAAACCCACAGCCAAATGTATTCCGGTAACCAATTATAATATTCCCCCTCCCAAATAACTGTATCCTTCATTCTTTGTCAATTTTCTACTGCAACACCTTAATTGTTCTTATGTGTGTGTCACCTTGCCTTATCTAGGCAAAATTAGTACCTTCCTCTTCCCCTGTTTTTCTTTCAGAAAACCATCATCTGTTAATCTCTCCCCACCTTGCTGACCATAATGAAAAAAAAAATACATATTTTTAAATATATGTGATGTCTATGAACGTCTATGTTCTTCACAATTCAGGTGAGAATAACAATTGTCCCCAGCATAAAAATAAATAAATCACACCCAACAAAATTGGCTTTTATTTCTTTGTGGTCTTGAACTCTGTATGTGTGTGGGGGGGGGTGGGTAATTTATTTCATTTATTTTTGTTGTTGAAAGTATGCACAGCAGAACATACACCAATTCAGCAGTTTCTACATGTACAGTTCAGTGACATTGATTACATTCTTCAAGTCATGCAACCATTCTCACCCTCCTTTTCTGAATTAGTCCTCCTCCATTAACAAACTCACTACCCCCTAAGCTTCCTAGCTAACCTTTCTAGTTGCTATCAATTTGATTCCATATGGATAGTTCTTAAAAAGCACAATGCTCAAGGTAGACTCTACTAACTTAACTATTGTTTGGTTGAAAGACTGCAGGGGATGGTTTTGGTTTAAGATTTAAAGATTATCTAAGGGCAATAATTTGGAGGTTCATCCAGGCTCAGAAACCCTGGTGGCGGACTGGTTAAGACCTACAGTGCTAACCAAAAGGTTAGCAGTTCGAATCCACCAGGCACTCCTTGGAAACCCTATGGAGCAATTCTACTCTGTCCTGTAGGGTTGCTATGAGTCAGAATCGACTCGACGGCAATGGGTTTGGCTTTTATTCTATTAATCTTCCATTAGTGGAATGCATTTATTGATGTGGCGTCCGCAGCTGTACTTCTTACTCAGGGCTCTCAATCCTGGCTGCGCATTAGAATCCTCTGAGGAACTTGTAAAAAATACCTATATCTATGTCCTGGATCCCTGGTGGTGCAGTGATTAAGAGCTCAAGCTGCTAACCAAGAGGTCAGCAGTTCGAATCCACCAGCCACTCCTTGGGAACCCTATGGGGCAGTTCTACCCTGTCCTATAGGGTCACTGTAGGTTGGAATTGACTCAACAGCAACACGTTTGTATGCCTGGATCCCACTCCAGACCAATTAGAACCTCCAGTGGAACCTGGATATCTAGTTTTAAAAACTCCCCAGGGGGTTTTAATGTGCAGCCAGAGTGAGAACCACTGTTTCTTATTAAAATTATTTTTAAATTTTGCTTCATTATTTTTCATTGGGTAAACTGTCATCTTTTGGGGGGCTTGGGCTCAGCCACAACAACATCAAGCTAAATATCCTTAGAGCAGTTCTTCCTCCACTCCCCTCCTCTTGGTTTAATACCTTGTTTCAAGAAAATAGAACCCCGGACATGGAATTAGAGTGGTAAATGTGACCACTTTAAACCAGTTGCTATCTAGTCAATTCTGACTCATGGTGACCCCATGTGTGTTAAAGTAGAACTGTGCTCCATAGGGTTTTCAATGGCTGATTTGTCTGAAGTAGATCTCATAGTATTCTTCCCCAGTTTTCACTGGGCTCAAGATCAATAGGCCTTCTAAGAATATACCCCTTTCCTGTCTCAGGTCTTCACTTACCTCTTCTAGTGGCTGGCAAATTGTTTTTCCCTTAACACTTGACTTGAATGGCTCCTTCTCATCCTTCTTGTCTCACCTTGATTGTCACTTGCCCCAAAGGCATTCGCAGCCACCTTAAATAATACTTTCCATCCCAGGACACTGTTTATTTCCTTCCTGGCATTTATTAATATTCATATGTATTTAATTTATTTGTTGACTTGGTTTCTGTAAAATGTAAACTCCAGGAGACTTGGACTTTTGTTTCCCCAACATTGTAGTCCCCAGCACTAGAATAATTCCTGGCCCATAGACAGTGCTCTGCTCAGTAAATAGTCTGAATGAATGAATACTTGGATACACATTTAAATTGTTCTGTATGTTTCTATAATGTTCTCAAATCCTATAGGGTATAAGGTACTATTATGTTTTCAAAATACATATGTATAATCACTTATAATATGAATTTAGAAATAGAACTATGTCTACCTGTGTGAGGCTGTCTTAACATTAAATATAAATCATTAGAAACCTGTGTCAGGTTATTTACAAAACTTCTGAACTTTGACATAGAATCGTGTGAAGAATGTGGTAAACAACCTTTAAGTTAAGTTGACTTTGACCTGATATGCTGTGATGAAAGAAGACATAGCATAGTTAATCTTTATAAACTATCCTTGAGACATAAACCTAAATAACCTCCCTAATCTCTAAACTTGAAAAAATGTGACATTTGGGTAATCTCTCACCCTGGAGGGATGACATAACATACCAGTCTTTGATGTCACACTGGCCCTCATTGTATGAGGCCAAGGTGAGGATTTCACATACAAACCCTGAATTCCTGCTCACTCACTGAGAGAAGGCAGAGGCAAAGAAATCTTTCTCTAGTCTCTTACTCTCTCTGAAGACTGAGAACCTGCTAAGACTCTGCCCGCTGCCACTGACCTTGGACTCTAGCTATGAGGGACCTCCACCAAGTCAGAGCTGTGGTCAAGACTTTCTCCTGAGACCTCTTGTTAGAGGTAAAAGCCTGAAGTCTAAAGATTTGGACTCTAACCATTTAACTAACATTGTAATTGTTAATTCTGATTCACTGGTTCTGAACAAATGTTGTAAGGTCTTACTTTCATGCCTTGCCATGACTACCTTGCAATAAACTAAACGAGTTTATGCATGACAAACCTGAGTATCTATTAATTTTCTAATATCCTACACAATTATTATTCATAGGTGAAGAAGCAAAGTTTTGCATTTTGGTTCTTCAGTATGATAATGTGACTCTGGTAAACTGAGATGAATCCAGATATGGTTCAAAATTTGGATGTTTTCAGAAATGGAACAATTTCATTTTCAAACACTCTTAACCCTTGTAGGTAGAAGAGTGGCAAACCCTAAATTTTATGCCCAGAGTAGAGAAGAAAAGACCTGTGGTGTTCCCCCTTCCCCACACCCTGGCTTGATATGGAGAGGGATTTCTTTACTAACCTTTTCTACTGTATTGAGTTGTTTTAAGAAAGAAAGGGGACTTAGTCATAGTCCTTCCCTAAGCACTACAGCTCAGGAGCAAACTGCCAGGATGGGAGCAGAGTTGGAGCTGTGCTGGCAGAGCTTTCATGTGTTTCCATTCCAGAGGGTCTATTTGTCCACATCTATTCAATATCATCAGTCAGAATAAGGGCGGGGCTGATTGCAGAACAGACCATCAACTGCTGATATGCAAGTTCAAGTTGAAGCTGAAGAAAATTAAAAGAGGTCCAAGAAAGTCAAATTACAGACTTGAGTATATACCACCTGAATTTAGAGACCATCTCAAGGATAGGTTTGACTCATTGAACACTAATGTACGAAGACCAGAGGAATTGTGGGATGACATCAAGGACATGATACATGAAGAAAGCAAAAGGTCATTAAAAGAAAGAAAAGTCCAAAATGGATGTCAAAAAAGACTCTGAGACTTGCTCTTGAGTGTAGATTAACTAAAGAAAATGGAAGAAATGATGAAATAAAAGAGTTGAACAGAAGATTACAAAAGGGCAGCTTGAGGAGACAAAGTAAAGTATTATAACGAAACAAAATGTGCAAAGACCTGGAGTTAGAAAACCAAAAGGGAAGACTATGCTTGGCATTACTCAAGCCAAAAGAACTAAAGAAAAAATTCAAGCCTTGAGTTGCAATATTGAAGGATTCAATGGGCAAAATATTGAGTGACACAGGAAGCATCAAAAGGAGATGGAAAGAATACACAGATTCACTGTATCAAAAAGAATTAGTCGATGTTCAGCCATTTCAGGAGGTAGCATATGATCAAGAACCAATGGTATTAAAGGAAGAAGTCCAAGGAATTGACGGAATACCAATTAAGATGTTTCAACAAACAGATACTGTGCTGGAAGTGCTCACTTGTCTCTGCCAAGAAATTTGGAAGACAG